CTTACACAGCCATGCTCTAAAAAGTTTGTGCTCTACAAGAAGACCAATAGCTCCTAAACAAAAACAAAAGCATACTAATGAGCATAATTATGCAATGTTAAGTCTAAGTTCAGCATGGTATTTGTAAGTAATCAGTTTTCCAACTTGTTTGAAAATATATTTCAGAACATGCCTTTCATTGCAGAGACAATACTATTTCCTTTTCATTTGATATTCAATACATATCCATTCTTCCAACGTTGACGAACCCCAATACACGCACGAACACACTCTAACGTTTCTTTGATTTCGCCCAATTTTGCCAAGCCTGAGTTTTTAAGGTCAATTTTAAATGACCATATATCGAGCATCTCTTTACATATGTGAAATATTATTGTGTCAGATGATGCAGGATTTATTCAGCTTTAAATTGGCATAGAGCATGAGTGGGTATATAAGTGCAAGGTTTTAACACAATGATTGGGTGATTACAGTTTCAAGTTTCTTTTGGACGCCACTGTACAGTAAAACATGTGCTCAACTTACATCTGGTGACTGGGTGTAAGAAATCCAACTCTTCTTTGTTAGATGAGCCCATTATTTCTCAAATAGCTGCCTAACGCTCAGCCTTTCCCCATGGCACGTACTCCGAGCAAAAACCTTGTGAACCCCCCACCCCCCACCCCCCCCCCCCCCGAAAAAAAAGAAAAAAGATCGTACTCCATTTACTCATCATGTTCTGTCACCAACGACAGATGCTTTTCTCCTATGCTCATTAAGAATACGATGGATACTACCATCGTGGTTGATTCTACAAAGGAGGAAGCATTGTTTGGTCTAAATTCTGGGTCACTGTTACCCTTTTAAAAGTAAACACAATGTCAAACTCACGCTTAGCACCAGGAACCTCTGACTGATCTATGCATCATGCTCAGGATAATTACGTTGTTCTGACGTTTGATTCCCTTCTCCTCCTCCTCCTCCTCCTCCTCCACTAGATCTTAGGGGAAGTCGACTGCGAGTTCTTCAACCTGCAGTACAATTGATTTTTACGAATGTGACCGCTTTTCGTACTTCGTAGGGCCCTTTGCTTTCAGGCAGTCTCATTCAGATTTCGAAGGTACTCTTTATCACTTTATACTGACTAGAGTATTGTCAGGTTTTGGTATGAATTAATTTTGAATTTTGCCTTGGTGGCGGCGAAGCCTACTCTTATCGAGTTTAGAACCACCAAGAGAGCTTAAAGTGCGCAGCTTGCACATGGGACCTTCGAGTTTTTTTTTTCCTTTCGAGAGAGCCAAAAGTTCGATCACTGCTACCCTAAGATCAGGGATGTGAGGCTGGAAGACAGTAGTAAGAAGGAGCAAGGAGAAGCAGTACTTATAGAAATAGTCAGGAGCAAAGGAAGGAGGAGCCCACTGGCCGGGGGTGGACCGGGTTAGAGCGCGATAGTGGAGATGAAAGCAGACGACAGAAAATATCTAGAAAAAAGGAAAGGAGGTGAAAAGAGAACATTTTAGAGAAATAAATTAATGTTTCCGTCGCTGTCAGGTTTCGAACCTGGAACCTATTGAATGTAAAGCGAACGCGTACCTCTAGACCATGAGAGCTTCGTATGTTTGGTTCTGATTGTTCTGTTTTTCAATAATCTTCCTGGGATCTTTTTAAAACCGATACACAATACACACATGTACATGATCTTGTATTTCTATGTTCTGTGAAATGATCCAAAGTAGAAATTCGTGAGCCTGTGTGTTTTGTATTTGCCTGGTTGTTTTTTGTTTCTATTTCTGTTTTCTTTTTTTGTCTCTCCATTTTTACACTATTGATACACACACGTACATGTATGCTCCATAAAACGACTTCCATCATACATCCATTTGTATGTTTGTTTATTTGTTTGTTTGTTTGGTTTTTTGTTTTCATCCTATTTTTGCTTTAATGATACACACACGTACATCAATGCTTCATAAATTAGTTTTTTTGTTTATTTGTCAGTTTGTTTGGTGATTTTTTTTCATTGCATTTGTACTTTGTTGATAGACACACCTACATGTATGTTTAATAAAATAAAACCTATATAAATTTATGTGATTGTCTGTGTGTGTGTGTATGTGTGTGTATGTGTGTGTGTGTGTGTGTGTGTGTGTGTGTTTGTGTATGTGTGTGTGTGTGTGTGTGTGTGTGTGTGTGTGTGTGTGTGTGTGTGTGTGTGTGGATGGGTGTGTGTGGGTGTGATCATGTGAGTAAGAGTATGATCGTGTAGGAGTATGATAAACCAATCATGGAGAAACAATACCAAATCGGAAAACAAAGATGAAACAGAGAATTGCAATCGCTGCATCTAAACTGAAAATGATAACATCCACCTGAAGAGGACAATGCGAAGAGAGAGAAAAAAAAGTTCAAACTCTAAGAACATTCTAGAGACGGTTTTCAAACTTGCTACTGAGCTGACGGCATTTTAAAAGAAATTTTTATTTAAAATTTTCCCTGCGACATCTCTTTATTGCTTTACTCTGTGATCAACTTCTCTCTTTTTTTGTTCCTCCTTAGGAACACATTGGCGGGAGATTTGACTGAGCTCTAGTTAAGCTGACTGAAATCGAGACGAAATGTTACATGTTTGGTCTAATTGTATTCGATACTGTAGGCGATTACTCCAAGTTCAACTGTAACAAAGAAATATAGTAAAATACTAGTCGCTGTTCCCCGGTCGCTGTACCCCTATAAAATGACGTCATGAGTCGCTGTTCCCCGGCGCAGCCATTTTTATTGGCCTATAACTCTCACCCATTCCCCCCCCCCCCCCCAATCTCCCTTCATTTTGAGGTAAAAAAGTAGGTTGGTTGTCTTAGATTTTCATCCTGTTTTCAGTATCCTGCATTGAGTACAATCGCACGTATCCGGCCTACGCTCGGAATTCCCATAGTTTTCTGACCCACTTTGGAATACAAATTTCTCAATCCAGCTGTAAGATAAAAACATCAGTTTGACAAGGCATACTAAATGTAAAACGTTATCTTTCTACTTCAGCGTGTATGTGTAGGCATGTTGGGAGTGTGTGAAGGGCTTTGTGGGATCGCATTTCGGTATCTTTACCGGTATTTGATTTGCCGTAACTAAAACAGGCAGCAGGTGGCGTTGGTAGCATTGTGGTTAGGCTACCGGACTCACGATTTCGAGTTCGGGGGTTCGAAGCTCAGCGTGGTCCAACGTTGTTTGCTTGGGAAAGGCACTTTGCACGAATTTCACACTTGGCTCGGTACTTTCAGACATTGAACTCGGAGGTCCCGCCTCTTAAATAACCTAATACTGTTGATAGGGGCGTTAAACCCATAACATTTCACCATTTTAAAAACAGGCAGCAAGGGTCAAATGTTCAAAAACAATATCACTAGCAATTTCGAGAGGATAGACAAGCTCTCGTAACACCCCCCCCCCCCCCGACCAAATCGGTAACAAAAGGGTGCTTTTTGTAACAACCATAGGTTGGCCAACGATAAGTATTTCTGGAGAAGACATTGCAGCAAATACTGATGAGATTCAAGATAGTGGTGACGAGGGCAAAACATAGATGCACCGTAGTTAAATCAGGTGCTCGTCACAACAATGAAATCCAAGAAATCGGTATTTTTCTGGCCATTGGGCAATTTTCAGAGACATTAAAGCTTTGGAAGTCATGACATTTTAGCAGTCATTTATTCTCTAACTTAACCTTTGACAATAAGCACCCCCACCCCCCTCCCCAACCTCTTTTAATCGCAAAATTTCAACTTCAAAGCAAAAATAGAACAGCATTTTTTCATTGAAAACAAGACAAATGAATAAACTTTAAGACGGTACCAACAACTCTTTTCGCCCGAAAACTGACGAGCACCTGATTTAGTTGCTTTGAGACACAGTTTCCTTGTGTGAATTTTAACTGACATGGCCATCATTATCACCATCATCTCATTATCATTATTTTTATAAGAGTTACCCGGGAAAAACTAATGAGTGATTGCATTCGACTCACACGCAGGTCCTCGAGAACTTTGGCTGCCATCTTCTGTGGTGAATCGAATAAGATCAATCAATTTTTTTACCCAGTAACTTTTATAAAATTGCTAGTAATAGTAATCAGCTTCATTGTACTACTACTACTACTACTACTACTACTACTACTACTACTACTACTACTACTACTACTACTACTACTACTACTACTACTACTACTACTACTACTACTACTACTACTACTACTACTACTACTACTACTAATAATAATGAGGAGAAGAAGAAGAAGAAGAAGAAGAAGAAGAAGAAGAAGAAGAAGAAGAAGAAGAAGAAGAAGAAGAAGAAGAAGAAGAAGAAGAAGAAGAGAAGAGAGAAGAAGAGAGAGAGAGATGACAATATATACTACTACTACTACTACTACTACTACTACTACTACTACTAATAATAATGAGGAGAAGAAGAAGAAGAAGAAGAAGAAGAAGAAGAAGAAGAAGAAGAAGAAGAAGAAGAAGAAGAAGAAGAAGAAGAAGAAGAAGAAGAAGAAGAAGAAGAAGAAGAAGAAGAAGAAGAAGAAGAAGAAGAAGAATGACAATAATAATAATAATAATAAAAATAATAATAACAATAATAACAATAATAATAATAATAACAATATTGATAATGATAATAATAAATAGTGATCCCAGAAATGTGTCCGTGTACGCGACTGACGACAACCCCCCCCCCCCCCCACATTCCCCCTAACTATGGATGACTAATTTCAAACTTGCATAGCTGCGTAGGACTGGCGTCAAATTGTACAAGAGGAGGGCATGCCTAGTGTTTCACTTACGCAAGCCAGTGCAATCAAGAACAAATAGTAACAAATAATAGAAATGATAATATAATTTTATTGTAATCATAATAATAATTTTAATAATAATAATAATTTTAATTTGGCATTAGGCTAATGGCGTGTCCGATAGTAATGATCTCGGATATAGGTCAGGGTACGCGACAGACGACAACCACCCGTGCTATGGATGGCTAATTTAAAACTTGCAGGGCTGAGTAGGAGTGACGACAAGTTATATAAAAGGGGGGCATGCCTAGTGTCTCACTCATGCAAGCCAGTACAATCAAGGACGAATCTTTCTGCTCCCGAAACCAGAGGGTTGGTGCCAAGGCTAACGTTTACTACCCCTGTTTGCTGCTACGTTTTCACTCTCTGTTTGCTGCTACGTTTTCACTCTCTTGGAGACGATGAATCGAGTCTTGTTTGGAGGTAAATCTTGTATTTCTTGATTGTTGCTTGTTGATGTTGAGGACAGTTTATCTGCTGTTGATATTCTCATTCCGCTAAAATTCCCCTAGATATGAGCACATGATGTATTCGCTGACTCCATTTGAAGCAACGATTTTGGCAGCCTGTTCTTATTCCTTTGTCTCAAACGATCATCTCATTTTTAGCTTCTCTGTCATAGTTTACTTAAAAAGGCATATTTACCTTACTTAGAAGAAACGGGTATGCCGGCATGTTCGAATCAGCCTTCGTAATTTCATTATTTCTCTTTTAACTATTCGCTACCTCAGAATTACAAAGTTGTATTTGCTCAGTGCCTAGTTTTGAGAAATTTAACTTCAAATGTTTAGAGTTTCACATCATGTCAAACTTTTACGAATGCAAGTCTTTGAATATCTTGATAACGACTCTGAATAATCTTACGATTTTGATAGAGCAGTTAGAACGTTTGGTTCTTGACCTCATGGTCTTATAGTAACTCAAAAAGTCAAAAATGTCAGAAGGAACTTTGTGATTCAGAGGTAGCAAATTGCAGCGGTTGTTTCTGTCTTTGAAATGTCTGTGTGTTGTGGTGGTCTTGTCATTTTGCTCATTGACCAGTCACTCCGTGTAAAGAAACCACGTCTTCATTCTTCTTTTACGATATGGTACTGAACATTTCATGAAAAGCGAAGAATGCTTCAAAATGGTGCCTGTACCCATTACTGAATCATGTTTAGTGACCTTCAAATTTATTTTTTTTACTTAACCGAGAGCGCGATAAGTATGTTTGCAACCGTCAAGAGTAATTTTACGCTAATTTGTATAATTACTGTTTATTTAGCTGTTAATGGTACTGCTACTACTACTGCTACTACTACTACTACTACTACTACTACTACTACTACTACTACTACTACTACT